GGGAAGGGGCACAAGGGGGGGAAGTGGTACAAGGGGGGAAGGGGCACAAGGGCGGGAAGGGGCACAAGGGGCGGGAAGGGGCACGGGGGGAGGGGGCACAAGGGGCGGGAAGGGGCACAAGGGGCGGGAAGGGGCACAAGGGGCAGGAGCAGCCACTGCTGGGGGAGCCACCGTTAAGGCCCTGTGGCTGCCACAGCCAGGACACCAATCCCAGGTAAAGGCCTTCTCATCCTGGGACTCGATGGGCCAGGCAGCCTGCACTTAACGGGCAGCACCCAGCACTGTGTGTGGCTTTGGGGGATTTGTCATCAGAAGCCGGTGGCAGCTCCCGTCCTAGAGTGCAGGCCACCTCGATGCGCAGACACCCGGCTGCCCCATCATTCTCGAGGCCCAGTGCAACCATGTCCCCGAGCCTCATCCCGCCCGAGAAGCCGCTGTGAGCGTGTCAGGAAACCAGTTCTGGGAGTGCTGGTGTTACCACAAACCACGGAAGACAGGGCCACGGAGTCCGCGTGTTTCCACAGAGAACACGTGTAACTTGTAACAAATGGGATGCAATTTTCAGGACTGCTCTAGCTAAGCCAGAGAAGGAGAGAGAGACGGAGAGAAAGAGACAGAAAAGCAAGACAGCACTGCGACTCGCTGGGAGGGCGCAGCAGTGGCCTTTGGGCCTGTGAGGGGATGAACACGGGGTGGGGGGTTCTGCTCTGTGGTGGGTGGGGGTGGTCACAGTGAGCCCCACCTGCCCCATTCTTCTCCGGCCCAGCACCGCTGTGGTGCCTGCAGCCATGGGCTAGCGACAGCAGGAGCATCTCCGCAGTGCCGGCCGGGCCCCCTATGCACAGGGTCTCACTGAGCCCCGCAGGAGCCATGGGAAGCAGGCTGTCTCCAACTCTGATGGGCTGAGACTTCCTCGGGAAAGGAGAGTCAGACACACGGGCCTAAGGGCATGATGCGCTGAGGCCAGTCTCGGGCGGCACCCTCACCAGCCCCAGCCAGGTGCTGGTGCCAGGACCGAGGAGCACAGACCCCATGCACCCGGGGCCAGCGGGCCACACCTGGCCACTCCAGCGTTTGTGAAGAAAGTTTTACCAGCACACAGCACAGCCCCCAGGCTCCTTTATACACTGTCTGTGAGCCAGGCCACAGTGGGGCCACCTGAGCCAGCGACTTTCACTTACAGAAAAGGTTTGCCGGAGTTAAGCTGTAGAAGCTGCGCCTTTGCCCAAATCCGACCCCCACCCCAGGGTTCCAGGCTGGGGTCTCCAAGTCCCCTGGTCTCATAGCCAGGACTGGCCTCCACAACCCAAATCAGCAGCCGGTTCGTCATCTTCCATGAGCACCTTGTGAGCATTGAACACAAGCTGAGCATTCTGAGAACCAACCTCATGTGCTCACACACAAGCACGTCCCTGTGCGTGCACACTCCTCACACTGGTGCACACGCCCACTGCGGCACCAACCTCGTGAGCTCACACACAAGCACGTCCCTGTGCGTGCACACTCTTCACACTGGTGCACACGCCCGCTGCGACACGCAGGCACCCTGAGGTTCTGGGTCAGCGTGCTTACGGCCCCTTGCTGTTGGGGGAGCCAGGAATCCCTCCATAGGACCCACTGCACCCCATGAAAGGGCCTCAAATGAGGGCAAATGAGGGGATATTGCAAAGAGAAGGCCCCCCAAGGAGCAGAAGTATCCCTTCCAGAGGACAGTGGCTACGACAGTCAGAGGGAGGGGGCAACCCTGCTAGGGCTGGGGAACATGGCACCCTGATCACACGGGGTTGTGGACTGGGCTGAAGGTTCCAGGAGCCTGAGGAGGGCCCCACAAACGGAGCCAGCCCCACCCCTTGCCCCAGGATCTTTAGCCACAGGGCAGGGGTTAGTCCCCCCCAGGCAGATCAAACGGGTGGGGAGCAGCCTGCGCTTTGCCATCCCCTTTGGGACCCTGAGTCACACCTGCATCAGTGCCCAGGGACCGGACAAGCCAGCCCTGCAGAAATGGCCGGTGACCCTGGCACGTCAGGCAGCCGTACTTCCTTCCTGGAGCTGCCGCCCTGCCCAGGCCACACCCCAACGCACTGGTGGGTAAACAGGGTGGGAACAGCTCACTCCCCAGGCTGGAATGGATGGGGGAACCCAGCCCCTGGGATCTTGCAAAGCTAACAACAGGGCCCCCGGGCTGCTGGGACCTCGGCTTCTGCCCTGCTTGAGCAACCCCATGAGATATAGATCAGTCTTCCCATTTCAGAGTGGTCGATGAGGTTGGTGAGACCAGGGAATGTGCCTCCAGGTTGAGTGGGTGGGTGCCGGCTGGGGTCTGCTGCCTCCAGACATGAGGATGGTGCTGGCACAGGAAGAACCTCAGTGGCTTATCCTGGACCCTGGGATGTGAAGAGTGGTCCTTCTGGAAGTGCACAGGTCCAGCGAGGTTCCCCACACACCCACCCCTAGGGACAAGGCCACGCTGGCCTGGCTGTGCCCCACAGGTAACACCGAGCCTTGGCAGGTGGGAAGATGGGGTGGCCCTGGAGCCAGATGACCCTGCTGGGTCCAGGCTGCCCTTTTAGAGCCACCAGTTGGGCCCTGCCTGTGGGGAAGAGGACATGTGAGGGGCCCCGTGAAGTAAGCCTCACGCAGCATCTTTGCGAGCTCAGGGACGGAACAAATAACCATTGCTTTGAGAAAGGGCTGGGGAAACTGAGGCAGGGGTGAGACGCCCAGGAGTCTCTAATTGCAGAACGGACCAGACCCTTAAGCAAAAAGTACCACAGTGCCATTCCTAATGGCACAGCAGCGCCCCGGCAAGGACACGGGGGCCCTGGAGACCAGGCCTGAGGTCCTCAGCCAGACACAAGTGGCTGAGCCTTAACTTGGCCATGGCGGCCCTGGGGCCTCGCCTGGATGTCAGGCTCAGCCAAACTCCCAGAAAGGCCCAGGCCTGAAGTCTGCCCGGGGCCATGGCCGGGAGGAGCACAGCCCTGGCTGCCTGCCCAAGCCCCCTGCACTCACCGGCAGTGCCTCCCCACGGCTTCCCCATTCTACAGACCAGGGCCACGAGATGGCAGATGCCCACATGGCAGCCTCCTGTCTGCCCTCCAGGGCCCACATTCGCCCTGGACCTTCCTTCCTTGCTTTCTGATGAGGAAAGGCCAACCTATTGTGGCCTAAAGAGGTAAGGAAAATGTGGCTCCTGGAACAGGAGCAGGCAGCCTCAACCCAGCCCAGGACAGCCTGAGTTTGGCACCCAAGACCTCGGCTGTGCTCCAGTGTCAGTCTAGAAACCGTCTGCAGTCTCCCCACAGCCCTGCAGACACCCACAGCAGGACAGCATGCGGGAAACAGGGTGAGCGGGTCAGGCCTGCAGGGCACAGTGGGGCCTCCTGGGGCCACCTCTCTCCGGGGTTAGGGAAAGCAGGCTGGCAGGAGAAGCCACAGGCTAGACACCAGGGGAGCACCTCCTCCAAGGCCCCACAAGGGGAGCCTGCCTCACCCTGTGGGCACTTGCCTCAGGATCTCCAGGGGATAGCAGGTGGGGCCAGGTGGCCATAGCCGGCCCGGGTGTCCTGGACTCAAGGGTTTATGAGCCATCAGCATGGTTCCTCTCTAAGCCCTGTGGGGCTCCCCAAGTAGCACAAGGCCAGGTCCCCAACCCACACCCTCCTTACCCACTCACTCAGATGCCACCCCCTTGAGACGCTCCTAACACCAGCCATGCTAGCCTGGCCTCCCGGTGTCCTGGCCTTCAATGCACTAGGCCTGCGTCCCTCTCACTCCCCAAGGGCAGAGGGCACATCCTGTCACCACTGCAGCCCTGGCCCGGTGCTCCCGCTGGGTGGTTGAGTGAATCATCCCAAGAGCGGCCCCCAGCAGTGGAGCCTCCACCTGGACAGGTGAGCCCAGGACAGAGCTCAGGGTGCCCTTCTGCCGGGACAGGCAGTGTCTGGGGTTCTCAGTGTGAGCTAGGGTGTCTGAGCTAGGGTGTGGCTCACAGAGGACGGTCCCCTGACCTTTCCAGCAGTCTGTGTCTGGAACCATAGGCAACCCACAACTGGGGGAGGCCAATAAATACCAGCTGAGGGATCGAGCCAGGAGGCCCTGGTGGGGCAGGCCAGCCTTTCCACTCTTGGAGCCTCGTCTGTCCTCAGCCACCCCTCAGCCAGGGCCACCCCACCCAAGATCCTCAACTGGAAGTATAGCCCTAAATCACCCACAAAACAGCGCAGGTCAGGGCAAGGCTTGCGTCATTAGTGCTCTGGAAGGAATCACCACATTGGCCCAGACGCGGGGAAGATCACTGGAAGTCGCCTGCTCTGGGCTCAGCCCACTTCCTGGCACACAGTAGGTGTGCACTGAACTCACCTGGATGTACACACAGGCTGACACTCAAGAGAATCTCGCTTCAGATCACACGGCCTTCCGGCACAGGCCAGGCAATTCCACCCACCTGCCAAGCCCCTCTCCCCTCTGCTTTGCAAACAAGGGAGATAATGCCATCTCCCAAACTGGCCAACAATGAACGCTGGCTGCTGAGCCCACCTGCATCCTGGTGCCTGTGTGAGGGGGGCCGCCATTCCCGTGGGATTGCTCTGAACAGGTGCCTGGCTGCCCGCCTCCTGCGCTCAACAGAATCTGTACAACGCCGGTTGCGCTGGGACCCACAGGTTCCCTGAGGTGGGCGGACACCTGTCACAGGGCTCCCAGCAGCTCTTCCCTGCGAGTCAGCACCCACACTTGGGGACTGGGCCTCCACTGTCACACGTGAGGGATAAGGGCGGGCACCACACCCTGACAAGAAACTGTCACCTGGAGAAGGCAGGTCAGCACCCTGTGGTCCGAGGCAGGGCTGGAAACAGGAGCCCTAAGACTCAGAATACAAAGGCAGAGAACCGGCCGGAGACTCAGGCACAGGGGAGACGAGGGAGGGGTCAGGGGTCCTTCCAGGACAGCCTCAGGACTGAGGGTCCTGGAGAGGAGAAGAGCCGGAAAAACTCAGGCACAGGGACACCGTGGGAGGGAGCAGCAGTCCTTCCAGGACGGCCTCAGGACTGAGGGTCGGGGAGCCTGCTCTGCCTTCAGATTCCCCACAAGGACAAGGGGGCCAGCCCAAGGCAGCAAGGGCGGCTGCTAAGTGGCTGTGCCCGCAGAGGCCCAGCTCCCGGCTCCGTGGGCGGCTCTGGTTACAGCTGAACGTGGCAGGCAGGGTTGACACCCATGCATCCTACAGTTGCCAGCTCCCACGCCGGGGGTCCCATCGGGCCTGGTTTTTTCCATGAAGGGCAGGTGGTGGTGTAGATTTGCAAACCAGGTTAGCCATGGGCCTCAGGGAAGAGAGCGCAAGGCCACTGCAGATATTCTCAGCCTCCCTTGTCCTGAGTCAAGGAGCCCAGGAAATGGGGCGACCCACTGCTGCTCGTGCCCCTCTCCAGGGAGGAAAGGCCAGACAAGGTGGTGCAGGTTCGGCAAGGGTGCCGCCCTTCGGACCAGGACCAAGCCCAGCCCTGCCTGCCGGAGGAAGCTGAGGCTGACGGTGGAGGGGATGGCAGCTCCCAAGAGGCGATTCTGCAGCCCCTGAGTGTCGCTCTGTCCTGCCCGTGCACTCCCAGCGGTAGCCCACACGGAGCGGGCAACAGCCACACGGGAGCCATATGTTAAATCACATGACTTGTGGATACATGGCTTCTGGTACAGCTAATGAAGAGATAACGTCTGCGAAATAATTGTGGAAGGAACACGGTCCTCTCTGCTAATTCATGTCACCGGGCAAAAATCTGGGCTCCACTGATGGAAAAAGTTGGGCCTTTACAAGAGGAGCCTTTTCCTGCTCCCAGTTTCAAAAGAAAGCAGGAGCGCAGCGAGGCCACAGCCTGATTCGTGCCTAATCATTGATCTGGCAGCGACAGCTCCCTGCCATGTGACACGGTGTCCAGGAGGCTCATCTGCACTGCATGGGTCCCTGCAGCCGGTGCACAGGTGTCGCTCGGGGGAGCCGCCCCGCCCTGCCCTGCGCCCCCCACCCAGGAAGCCAGGGCTCCCAGGGAATGTACCCATGGCTCCCACAGCTTGTACCTCTTTATGTCCCCATGACTCAGGGCTCCCTGGCCTGAAACTGTTCTTAAAACGCACAGCTGGGCGCAACTGCTCTCCCTGAATCCAAACCTCAGCCGCGGAGTCACTCCCAGCAGCCAGGGGCCCATGGCCTTCGACAGGGCACCCCCACCTGTGAGTAATTGCCAGGGCAAGGCCACGGGGCATCTGACCCTCCCCCGTTTTAACGACAATTCTGCCAACAGCTGAATTCAACAGTGGGTCTGAACAAAGAAAAGTGCGTTAATTATGGCAGATGTGTGGAGTTCCGGGACCCCGGTCCCGCGCCCCCCGCCCCGGCCCGGCCCAGCGCCCGCCGCGAAAAGTCGCGACGACTTTGAGAACCACTTTCGCCCCCCGAGTGACGGCCGCGCTCGCGCGCCCCGAAACCTGGGCTCGGCAGAAACCGAAAGCTGGCGCCAGGGTCGCGCCACCCCCACCCCGGAGGCGGGTCCCGGGTCTCCGGGAGGAGGGAGGTGTCGGGGGGGGGGGACCCCAGGGGTGTCCCGGCCCGCGCCCCCGCTCACTTTTTCGTGCAGTCCAGCAGGATCCCCGCGAAGCTCCGCTCGCCGCAGCTCACCGTGACCACCAGCGCGCCGTTGACGACCTGCTCCACCCGCACGGGCAGCCGGCAGCCGGCGCGCGGCTCCATGCTCCCGCCGCGTCCCAGGCCGCCCCCGCCCCGCCGCCGCCGCGCGCGGCGGCCGCCGCCGCCGGGTCAGCCCCGCGCGTGACGCCGCCCGCGGCCGCCTGAAGTCACAAGCTCCGCTGGGGCGGCCGCACCCGCCGTGCCGGCCGGGGGCCGCGCCGCGGCTCCGCTCCCGGGCACCCCGCCCGCCGCCGCCGCCGCCGCGTCCGGGGAGAAGGCGCGCCCGCCCGCAGAGCTCGGCGGGACGCGCGCTGCGGACCCCGGGGGTGGAGAGGGGCTGCGCCCGGGCTCGCGGCCCACGCTGGTCGGGAGTGTCCTCCGACTCGGGAGGACCCGAGAGCCACGAGCCCGGGGGCGGCGGGGGGAACACCCGCCCTGGCCGGAGCCCCGGGACTCCATCCCCCAACTCCCCTGCCTGGGGCCGGTCCCGGGGCCCCCTCTCCCTCCGGACCCGGCCCTGCGCCCTCCCTCCCTCCCCGGTGTCCCGGATCCCCCCGCCTGTGTTCGGCTGCCCGCGTGCCCCGGCAGCGCCCCGCGCAGGGCTCTGGTGGCCCCGGGCACTGCGGCGAGGAAGTCCCGGGCGGCGCGCGCAGGAAGCCGGGGCGGGCGGAGGAGACGCGAGGCGCCCGGGGGCAGCGGCCTAGTGTCGCCCTCGCCGCGTGGGGCACGGGACACTGGGTCGCCCCACTGGGCTCGGCGCCTCTCGGGCGACAAGCGGGCGCGCGCCCGGCTCAGGGTCACCCTGCGCGCCTGGGAGTCGCCGACACCGGGACCCGTGGGGTTAACTCCGTCGGGAGGTTCCCGGGCCCAAGGGCCAGGCGCGCCTCCGCCAGTTTACAAAGGAAACAGCCTCCTTCCTCCGCGGCAGGGGCTCCCCGACCCGCGGGCGAGGAGTGGGAGGTGACGGCGCCGGACCCCCTCCCCCCGGGACCCCCGCAGGGTCCCGGCTCCCGCGCCTTCAGGCGTCAAAGCCCCCGAATTCCCCGAGCACCAGCGCGTCCGCACCCGGCTCAGAACGCAGGGGCCCGGCCTGCTGCGGTGACCTTGGCCCCGGGCCGGGCTTCTGAGCCCGGCTTGCAGCGCCCGACGGGGCCTGGAGGCGGGGCGGGGAACCGGGGAGTTGTCCTGGCGACCCAGCGCCGCGCGGCACGGCTCCTCCCAGCCTGGGAATGGAGGACCACCGCCCCTGGTGCGCTGGGGTCCGTCGGGCCGCTGGCGCCGCTCGACCTCGCCCTCCGGCGGCCGCACGGCAGGGGGAGCCTCAGAGAGGAGCCAGGGCGGACGGAGTGAGGGAGCCCGCGGGGCCTGGGGCACCTGGCGGTCCCTGGCAGAACAGGGGTGGGGACCGAGGCCAGGGACAGTCCCAGAGGAGGCCTGGAAGCCCAGCGAGCGTGTGTCCTCTTCTGTGTGGCCTGGGGCTCCCGCCAACACTAAGCCCTTACTGGGGCCTCAGGCACCTCAAGGCGCCGTAGCCGCCAGGCCTGCAGAGGAGCTGCCTGCTGTCCTGCCCACAGGCCTCTGCAGCTGCCCCCTCCAGGGGGTGGGGCTGACTTTGGAGGAAAAATGCCAGGCAGCAGGGACCCCCTCGCCACCCTACTCGGGGTTGGGCTAAGCGGCCATCCTGAGGCTGCCCACTTGCTTGGCTCTTCTTCCTGCCTGCTGGAGAGGCCTGCTGGGCACTGCCCTTTCTGAGCACTGGGGACTGCCAGGGCGAATCAGCTTTCAGGCTGGTGGGGCCAGCATGGGGTGGGGTAAATGCACAGGGGGCTGTATGTAGGTGAGGGGATCCAGAAAGAGTGTCAAGGGAGCACCAGCATCCACCAGGGCCTCACCAGGTGGGCAAAAGCAATGGCCTCCGAGGTGGGAGCGGAAGTGGGCAGCATCCCCCGCAAGGTGTCTGCGTGCGCGTGGGGCTCCTGGTGACTTCCCACGCCGGCAAGAGGAACAGTTTGGGGTGGGCTGAGGGACCCACCTGGGGACTTCCTGGGCTTTAAGAGGGACCGAGGCAGGGTGGTGGCAGGCAGGACGGGGGAAGAGCGTTCTGGGGCACAGAGGGCTGGACAGATGCACCCAGCAGCTGGCAGCTCTGGCTGGAGAGGGGAAGAGGGCAGTGAGAGGCATGGCTGGCCCGCGGCACCTCCTGCCCCTCTGGCCCATGCTATTTACTGTGTATTTTAAGGTAAACTTGGAAGCTGTTTTTAAAACCTGCTCTCCACTGGGTAAGGTGTGAAAAAGACTATCTGCAGACAGGGAGACCATTTTTGCAACTTAAATGGTGGCTGTTCGGGGCCTACCCTAGCAGCCCTGCCCCCCACCCCCCACCGGCTCTTCACTGGCTTCCCGCCCCGCTCCAACCTGTTTTGCTTAAGAAGAGGCCTTGGGAGTTTCCAGAGTCCCTGATTAAAGTGCAGATGTCCTTGGGGACCTCATCAGCCCAGATATCCCCTCCTGTCTGACCCAGTATTCAGGGGTTGGGGGGCTGTCCTAGGCTTGCCGCTCTCAGCATCTCCCCAGGGGCCACCCTGCTCATGCCAGTCTGCCCAGTTCTGGGAAGGACCCTGGGTGCTGGGACCGGAGCTGCCCCCAGTGAGAGGACCCTGAGCTGCCTGGCTGGGCTGGAGAGAAGCCTCGGGAGTACGCACGCCCCTGGCTGGGGCAAAAACGCCAAGAGTGGGAAGAGAGACACCTCCGAGTCTTTAGACTTTGTCTTCAAGAGACTTGATCCAAACAAAAGGTCCTAAAGCCTTTGGTCCCCTGGCTATAGGCACAGCCACAGCAAGGCCTAGGACATGCCCACTCCAGGATGGCCCAGCTGGGGCAGGCTGAGGGGACAGGAGACTGTCCAGAACTTCCACAGGGGCTGGGGGTGGGTGACCAGCAGTTGGCAGGGTGGGTGGCCTGAAGGGGTACAGTTGAGGGAGGGATAGGTGGCTGGAGGAGGAAGCAGGGGCTAGCCTCCGTGTCCCCAGAGACAGCAGGGGAGCAAGGCAGGATCCCCGCAGGCCACCTCCCCTCAGGGTCTGCCTCCCCTGCGGTCCTTGGAGGAGCTCCAGGATTTGTCCTCCCCAGCAGCCTGGCTCACTTTCATCACCAGCGCCATGCCCACCCCTTGTCTTTCAGCGTCCCAGCTCAGAGGGCCCTCCCGACTGGGGAACTGGACCTGCCCAGCACTGTCCTACTGCACTACGCCGCCACTGAGACTTGTCCCTCCCTCAACTGTGCCCCATCAGGCCACCCATCCTGCCAACTGCTGGTCACCCACCCCCAGCCCCTGTGGAAGTTCTGGACAGTCTCCTGTCCCCTCAGCCTGCCTCAGCTGGGGCATCTTGTGGTGAACAGGTTCTCAGCCTTTGTTGGTCTCTTCTACAAGATGAGGCTTACAGGGGCCTCCCCATGACTGAGGTGCAGCCACAGCCTGGCCTGTGTCCAGCCTGCTCCAGAATCACCTGGCCAGACAGCTGGTATCCCCCCAACCCCCAACACACCTGGGCTTACTTGATCTTACTGGAGCTCACCAGGGCCTGGCTGTGTGTGAGTCTCATGCGGCATAGTGAGGTGCTCCCGAGATGGACTGAAGCTGTCTGGTCAAGATGGAGGCCTCGAAGGCCACAGCCATGAGTCAGAGACCACAGATTTCTCCAGAGCTGGTGCCCAGAGGCCAAAGGCGGGGATGGGCCTTGAGGCTGGGACCCAGGTCGCCTCATGGCAAGCCTTATGCCCACAGCAGCTGTGGAAGGCAGGGGACAGGATGAAGCCTTTAACACAGAGGGCCTGCTCTGATTTCAGTAAGCAATCATGTATCACCCAAGAAGCCTGGACAGACTGGGGTGCAGGAGCACGCCAGGCCTCATCTAAGGTGTCTGGCAGGGAGGCCGGCCCGGGGAACACACGCCTTGTCCCTAGTCATGTCGTCTGAGGCAGGGGCTCAAGGCAATCTTTGCAGGTGCTGAGCCGGGAACCCTCGACCTTCTAGCAGGCCACAGATCCTTTGGCAGTGTTTGTTTTGTTCTGCTCCAGTCTGGAAGCCCTTGGAGGGCAGTGTGGGTCTGCAAAGCCAACTTTGTCTTGTCTGACCACCCTGCAGGGGCTGGTCTGGAGCTGTCTCCCTGCCCCATGGGTTGTCAGGATGATATAGGGTCACATCCCCTGAGGCAGTGTATCAAAGGACTGGCTAGGAACAGAACTTGCCAAGACTCCACTGGAGGTGGTGCAGAGAGCTGACCAGGCACATAAACTCTAAGGCCAGACTGCTAGAGTCCTGCCATGTGACCTTGGGGAGACTGCCACCTCCCCTGTGCCTCAGTGTCCTCCTCTGTCAAGTGGGAAATATCATGGTACCTACCGTGTAGGCTTGTACTGAATATTAAGTGAGTTAATAAACATGAGGGCCGGGCGCCGTGGCTCAAGCCTGTAATCCCAGCACTCTGGGAGGCCGAGACGGGCGGATCACGAGGTCAGGAGATCAAGACCATCCTGGCTAATACGGTGAAACCCCATCTCTACTAAAAAAATACAAAAAACTAGCCGGGCGAGGTGGCGGGCGCCTGTAGTCCCAGCTACTCGGGAGGCTGAGGCAGGAGAATGGCGTAAACCCGGGAGGCGGAGCTTGCAGTGAGCTGAGATCCGGCCACTGCACTCCAACCCGGGCGACAGAGCGAGACTCCATCTCAAAAAAAAAAAAAAAAAAAAAAAAATGAGATACTTAGTACAGCACAAGCCCCAGTAAAAATTCCATGAGTCAGCTGCCATCACCATCATCAACACTTTTGTCATTATCACCACTGTCACCACCATCACCACCACAGCCTCCACCATCACCACTACAGCCATCACCATGATCATTACCATCCCACCTCCACCATCACCATCACCTTATCACCATTACCACCACCCCCCCACCACCATCATCACAACCACCATCACCATTACCATTGCCACCACCACCACCACCATCATCATGACCACCATCAGCATCATAACCACCATCATCATGACCACCTCCACCATCACCACTACTACCATCATCATGATCATCACCATCCCACCTCCCCCATCAC